AATCTCATCCTTTTCTTCAAAGTCACTGTCAGACTCAGAATTCTCAGAAATGTGATCCTCACATTCTGAAACCTCTTCCTCTTCCTCTACATCATCATCAAATGGTTCTCTCTCTTCCAGAATCATTTGCAAGGCCCTCTGAGCAGAGAATCGTTTGGCCATCTTGATCAGTTGTGATAAGGACCCAAACTGGCAAAGCTTTAATTATTGTGTCTTGCCCCAAATTTGCAGCTGGGATAGAGTGTGAAAAAAATAAAGATTGGTTCCCGCAAAACATAATGCGGGAATGTGAGAGCAGACAGGAGTCCGTGCTTACATTTATCAACAATGTTGCAACCTTGTGCGGGAATGGCAGGGGCACACAAACACAAACACACACACACACACACACACACACACACACACACACACACACACACACACACACACACACACACACACACACACACACACACACACACACACACACACACACACACACACACACACACACACACACACACACACACACACACACACACACACACACACACACATTAGCCCCAAACACCCTGTTTGTAATATAAAGGTGTAGAGGGGGGGGGGGGGGGGGGGGGGGTACAGTGGATGGTCATTGAAAATGTGTTCTGACATATGTTCTTCACAGAAAATGAGCCAAGGCCATTGAGTGTGAGTTTGAAAGAATAATTTATCATATCATTTTTCCTTTAGCTAAATAATGAAAACGGGTCCCACATACCCGAATACCATGCAAGGGTTAAACAAACTTTGGATTGGTGACCTGATTTTGTATGTTATGTTCTGCTTCCTTTAAGTCCGACTTCTAATTTTCCATCGTAGATATGAGTATGATGGAGAAAAAGCACCCTCGAAACTTCTCTCTGGACGTCCACCCATACATGCTGACCATTCGTAAGCCCAAGGTGGATGTAGCAACAGCCGAGCCTCTGCCCCCAGTGCTCAACCTGGATACAGTTTACCTTGAAGGCACACACACTATCGTTCATGTGTCAGGTTCAATTACAGGTAAGCTTGAACTCTACTTTACTCTAGCTTTAGCTGGTCCAGAGCCAGAATTTGCCATATTTTACTCAAACTGTTTGGGTTCAAGAAATTAGCATGCAGCATCCCATCTCATCTAGCTGTACCTTGCATATACACCTTGGGGTGGCAGTAGCTCAGTCTGTGGGGACTTGGCCTCGACCAAAAATACTGAGTGTTGACTGGTAACTGGAGAGGTGCCAATCTACCTCCTGGTAACTGCTGAGGTGTCCTTATGCAAGGCACCAAACCCCCAACTGCCCCCATGGCGCCGGAAAAAACAAGGCAGACTCTTCGCTCTGACATGTCTTCATAAAAAAAGTGCATGTCTGCATTCTTTTTCTTCTTAAATGTAACCCACTTTTTGTTGCTCACCTGCTTTCAGAAAATAGGTAATAAATAACTATTTTGGTTCTTTAGGTTCCCCCACAAGTGTCACGCCAAACAAGAGTCGTACTAAACAAAAATCACAAGTAAATGAGAATTTGAATTAATGTTTCACCAAAATAGTCACGCTGAACGAGAGTCACGCTGAACGAGAGTCACGCTGAACGAGAATCACGCTCAAAGAAAATCATGCCAAACGATAGTTGCACTGAATGAGAGTTTGATTAAAAGTTGCCCAGAGTGATAGTCACGCAAAACGAGAGTCGCACTTGATGAAAGCTTGAAAGAGAATCACACTGAACGAGTCGCACTGAGCGAGGCTGAAGCAGGGGCTCTCAGAAGTTATCCTCACATGCATGACCCAGAAGCATGAGTTTGATTCAGTCCTGCTTGAAAATCAAGTAATGTGTTCCTCTTAAAGAGTCATTCAAAAAGAATACTTCATTCTGAAATCTATAATCATTACAGAATGTGCTGACATAAAAAGACAATAGGAGAAATTATTTCTCCAGAAAGGGGGGGGGGGGGGGGGGGGGGCTTTGCCAAAAGGGTTTTCATTTACATTTGAGACTGACTTTTTCCTCTCTCCCTCTACCCTGTCCAATATTTCCTTCTTGTCTTTCAGAAACTAAGATTTGCTCTCCAAAATCGACCAACACTGCCTTTTCTACGATGACCTTGCCCACCAATTCTTACGTTAATGGTGTGAGCCCAAACCCTCCCTCCAGTGAGGACCCCCTCAGTCCCAAGTCTTCTCCAACCCCTCTCCCTCTTCCTCCGCCTACCCCACCGAGGGAGCCTCTCCCCCAGGCGGAGAACCCTGAGTGTCCACCACCAGCCCTGACCAGAGCCCCTACACACCAGCTGATGAGCATACATCATACTCTGTTTGAGGGAGAAGAGGATGAAGAACAACGCAGGGATAGACTGGCAGAGAGACCCGGGGAGCTCATCGCTGCTGGGGAATGTTGAAGGAGGAGAAGAAGAGGGACGCTGAACAAGATTCCTCTAGCCCACTCTACACTGCGCACATGACCACCATGTCAACCACTTCCTATTGACAGTCACCTCTACTCTTAAAATCAACTCACACTCTTCTGTGATGGGAGGATTAGACAGTGAGGACACGACATGGAAACTCCGGTAGTCCTAAAAGAGAAATGACCGAGACGGGAAAATTATTCAGAGGGGATAATATAAACGTTTGTTTGTAATTGATAATGCTGACCAGAGTACTGCTGTAGGAAATGATGTCACATTCATGTCTCAGGATGACTGTGTACAGCTAAACATCCTCAAATGAAACCAGCAGAGGTATAATTCAACAGGGTGCTAAAGTGCAGGATCAAACAGCTATATTAAAAAGGCTTAATGAAAGGATAAGCAGCAATGAGAGGTGAGTGAGCTTTCAAAAAATAAATTAAAAAAGACACACACCTGAAAAGAAGACGGCATTACAGCTTCAAACTAAAATGTATTTTAAACACATATGATATAGCGCTTAGTCCCTTTATCCCAATAGCCAGGTAGAAAGGTAGCTTACGCAATACAGTTGAGATCTGCACAATTAATATGCAAAAGATCACAATATATTTGTGGCAATAATGTATGCGCTTACAGCATCATATCTCACAGAATGCTGTATACATGTATTGACACTGTATATGACTCAGACTTTGTGTAGATAATATAACACACGTTTCATGGCTTTATTATTGCCATTTCACCGCTGATTAGGAACGTGTATGATATCTTGACTCCACTATATTTGCACGTCATTTATAATAGGTCAATTGTTATATTATATACAGGAATAGCAAAAGAACAGACTCTAGAATGAAAGAGTGCCGTTGTGAGGTGACGTGCAACTACAATATTGCTCAGAGAAACTGTCACATAGGTAACGGATATCTATGACAGAACTACAATGATGTGGTTGTTTTCTTCTTTTAAAGCAGATCAAATATAATGAATGGAGTTGGACCCAGTGGTAAAGTATGTGACTGTTGTGTTCAGCTGGCTTCTCGTGGGAGTGCTGTGATGTGATGTGATGTGAACGAAGTGATGAGTAGATTTAATGTCTCACTGGAGGGTTCATTACTAGATTGAATAAGTTATTGAATGCCATCTGCTGTCTCAGACACAATCTAAATGTCTTCAGTAGTTCTGCCCTGCCTCACATTGTGTCAACATCTGCTATGAACAACTTAATAGTTAGAATGGTCTGTCTGTGATGTGAAGTAGAAACCATGCATATGGGGTGTCTTAGCACTCTTCACAATTAACGAGTGAGTGGACAAGGGGATGGGCGCCTACCACTACCTCTCACATTTTCAGCCACATGAATACAGGAACTTCACTAAAGGAACTGCCTGCACTGACTTACACACAAATATGACATCTACTGTAGAAGACATTAGTGCTTTCATCTGGGGTTTACCTACAATATCGGTAGACATATGCATACTATACTCATTACTCACATTTGTCTGGGGCATTCAGGAAGCATACATTTGTGATGATAGACAGCATTTTTTTCCAATGATCTTTTGGTGGAAATACAAAATAATCCACTTTGTTTTCATGTTGGCTAAAAGTCCCTTTGTTAGACTGATCAAGCACACCAAATGCATCCAAAAGCACTTTAAGACTTGTAGCACGAGTATGTGAGGGCATGGTATATGTTAAAACACAGCTCTGCTTATAAATGATTTTTTTTTTCTGTGTAGATTTTAACATTGAGACAATAAAGAAGGGAAATCTGTGACAGAGAAAAGAGTCCAGACTTTGATTGTACTGTGTGAAATGTTATAATGGAAAGTAAATAAATACATTTTCACTAAAAAAATAAATGTGTGGGTCGACTGAATGAATGACTACATGTACCAGGAAGCACTGCGGCTGTCAGATTCAGCCGAGCACTTGCTGTAATGCAGCTGTAGTGGCGAGGAGCACACCGACATACGGGCTGGCTTAACCAGTAAGTTTTTTATATTTGTTTTGAGACAACTATTGTGTATGATAGCAAATGTATTGTACTTAATAATGTCAGCATTTGTTGTGAAATTGATCTATTCCAACGATTACGTTTTCACGACATACTTACGGGGCTTGCTAGCCTTAAATTAGCTTAAGTTAGCATCCGGTAGCTAGCCATGAGACTTCAGTAAACCATGGATATATAAAGAGAACTGGATACAGCGTTGGAGGAGGGATCCATCCCGTTAATTCCTATGACATTTGCTCGCATGAAGCTCAAAATGGAGCGACTGTAGATTCAGAAAGTACCCGGATCATCCGGGGGCTTTTGCTTATAGAGCATGCGCAGTTGAGTTTTCCTTAAGCCCCGCCTCCGGTCTCCCGCTCAGTCAAATGAAGAGAGAAAAATAACTCTGGTTTTGGCTTTTAGCGCATTTAACAACTTTTAATAGCCCTAATGATTTAAATGAGGACTATAACAATGCTCGTGCTCGGTAGTTTACTGATTTACAGCGTCTCTTCCCAATGTAAGTCGATGGGAAAAAGTATTTTGGGTCAAAATTACGTCACGGAAGCTGTAGTAACATCGTTTGGCCACTACGGCCATTCACACAAATCGCCTTCAACGGCCACCGTACTTGCTGGGTGCTTCCGTACATATATATCTATGCTTCCGTACCTGGAAGTAAAGCTAGCTTAACCTGCCCCCTTCAAGTGACTTCGTCTTTAGCTGCACTGTGCCTTGTGTTGCTAACATTTTCTTCGTAGTGATAACCTATCTGGAGATAACGAAACATTTTTTAGTTAGTCCAATGTTTATAAATCAGTGACAGTCCTGAAACTACCTTTGACGCCACAGCTGGACATTTGTAAACTGCGTTTACACTGCGTTTTAAAGCAACGTCAGCAGTCACTAACGCTGCACTGTAGCCAGCTGTGTCAGTGAACGTCTCACTGCTGAGTGGTAACGCATGTCTTCCTCCTGCTCTCTGTCAGCTTTCAGTGCTCCAAAAATGGATCAAGACAACAATTCAGAGGTTTGTAACACTTCCAATCGTTGTGTTTGTGTGGGTCTGTGAGTGAAAGACTATACGTTGACTGGTGTTCTGCCGGATGCTCACACTGGACAGCGTGTTGGGTGTTTATTATGATGTAAAACACATGTATTTATTCTGGTGCTAACGGTGCTATCTTTAATTTGTTTCTCAAACATTGTCATATGAATTTGCCCCAAGCAGGTACTTGAATATGTGCAATCAGTCTGTCTTTCTCAAACTGGCTAGACTTGGAAATAAATAATCTCTTAATCTAGTACAGATATAGCATGCCCTGTGTTTTAAATGGCGTATTGTTTGCTGTTTTGACATCTAACAGGATGAGTCTGTCGGCCCATCGGAGGACCCTTCAGAAGATGAACTACCCTCTCTGCCTCCAGGACTCTGTAAGCTTTTTTAAATTACAGTGTGTATGCTGTATTTCATCAGAAAGATTTCGTAATACCTGTTTTTTAAGTGTCTGTTTGCCACGTCATGTGTCTGTTTTCAATTCAATATCATATTAAACATGTTTTGGGTAGTTTATCAACCTGGCTGTGAATTCAGCAGGCTTTTCGATATTTATTTCTAATTTAAATAGTGACACAATAATACACATTTTATACATTCTTTGCTCTGTACAAGAAAGGGACTTACTACTTAAATTCCTTGAGCAATGGTAGATTAACTCCACATAATCACACTTCATACTTTAAGATCGCAGTTTTACCCCACGCAAATGCATGTGCTGATGGTTTTGTTAGTGTTCTCTTAATATACTTTTTTCCCACATCCACATACTGTTAAAAAACTGACTTTTCTTCTGGTGTGCAAGTGATACCCAGATTTGTCAACATTGACTTACTATCTGTAACCCAATTGTGAAGTGTGATTATGTGGAGTTAATCTACTCCATCAATAGCAGAGACACTGCTTATGTGAAAAGAACTGTGTGTATAATGTAAATTACTATAACTTTAGCTTATGCACTTTAAAAGAGAAACCTTTTCAAATGTGTTTAAATATGAAAATATATTCTTCCTATAACAATATAGTAGTTATTGTAAGCCATCAAAACTATATTTGTCCCCTTGTATATTTCAGCTCCTTTTAAAACTCTCTTTTATTTTGTCCAGCGGATGGTGAAGCAATGGAGCTGCTTTGGCAGCTGCGGTCCCAGCGCCGCCAGGCGTCCCCTGAGCTCCCAGAGACGGTTTCCGTTCTAACGGCTCCGGACGGCAGCCTCCTCTACCTGGTGGGCACGGCCCACTTCAGCGACAGCAGCAAGCAGGATGTGGCAATGGTGAGCCAATGAGAATTTACAACAGGATTCGTTCAGTACGCGTTCCCGCTTACACCCTTTTAAAATGTGATAGACTATGAGTTGTCAGTGAAACAATGGAGTAACTCTGAGAATGTGCTGTACAGTAGCGCCTGGGAGATGAGTTGGCCCGACTGTTAATACTGTAATTAGGTTGGCATTCTTCTCTTGCCAAGCATAAGTCTTGTTTCTTCCTCGTTGATTTTCAGTTGTTACTTCCTCCCTCACTGCTCATTTGCCATTTATTTCTCTTTCTTGCCCACTATGTCTCTGTTTCTTAATTTTGCATTTCCCTGCCTCCCAGACGATCCGCGCTGTGCAGCCAGACGTGGTGGTGGTGGAGCTGTGCCAGTACAGGGTGTCTATGCTAAAGATGGACGAGGCTACACTGCTGAGGGAAGCCAAAGACATAAATCTGGATAAGGTTCAGCAGGCCATCAAACAGGTTAGACTCAGAAAGATGGACTGACAGTACCAATGGCAATCGAGAAAGTACCGAATACTGTGGATAAGGCAGTAAGGATGTTGTTTAAAGTGACTCATTCAGGCACTCATTCTTAATGGTAAAATAAATGTCTCTGATGCACAAACAGGATTAAGTGTTGGAGCTTTTTATTTAGTTTCTTCTTCTAGTTTTTTTTAACTATGGTAATGTGTGCCCTGAAATCTGTGTATTTCAGAACTCATCTTTAAAGAATGACCTCTGAAGGCATTGCTGTGTTTCTCTGAATGTTTATTTTTGTCCTGTGTTTTTCAGAATGGGCTGATGTCCGGCCTCATGCAGATTCTCCTGCTTAAAGTTTCAGCTCACATCACAGAGCAACTGGGTATGGCTCCCGGAGGAGAGTTCAGAGAGGCCTTCAAAGAGGTAAAACATGCACCAAAGATATGCAGATCTAAAAAAAGGTGGACAGTGGCTGTATATATTTTGTGTTTATTTTGTAATGTTTTATTCTTGAAGTTGTTCTTCCCTCACAGGCTGGACAGGTACCGTTCTGTAAATTTCACCTTGGCGACAGGCCGATCCCCGTGACGTTCAAGAGAGCCATCGCAGCTCTCAGTCTGTGGCAGAAAGCCCGTCTGGCGTGGGGTCTTTGCTTTCTCTCTGACCCAATCAGGTAGCTTCATGTTTATTTTGTCGTACCACACCATTTTGTGAGACTTTCTCAATATCTATTACTCGATACTGCTTTCCAAGAGAGAATAGAGAAGTGCTGTATTTAGACGTCCTGAGATGATCGAGAGGGAGATGACCACTAAATAGTCAATGCTTTGCCCTGGAATAAAATGCAGCTACAGCTAACTGACTTCTCTGTAGGATTAGGGAATGTGCGCTCACACATATCTTACATGCAACTCTGCCAATTCTTCCTCCTACTGCCTATGTCTGTGAGATCTGACTGGAAGCTAGCTGCATAAAGTGTTTGTGAATCCATCTTTCGAGATTTCTTGAGCTTGCTATATTCTCTGCCAGGCAAGAAAGACCCAACCAGAAAATATGCTTTGAAGTACCGTATGTTCAATCCCCACAAATTTAAGCTGTCCACCCATTGAGCCTCCGACTTTTTTAAATTTCTAGACTGAAAACACAACGGGTTGGCCACACTGTAAAAGGCTTCTCCAAGTGCAGTTGATTGCATCATTTTGCAAAAAAGTGCAATTGAAAATGACTTATTAATGCCTCTGAGTACTTTGACAAGCGCTATATAAATATCATGTATTATTATTATTTTGCCTTTCAAGAGGTTTATTTCACCTTTTTTACATCTTGTATGCAGACTTTTTAAAAGAAGGCATTAATAAATGTTTAAAAAAATATTAAATTGAACATGATTTGGAAAAAAATCCTGCAAACTTCATCTGACCCAATCCTTTTTGACTGTTTGTTCCTTATCCTTTACTCTCTACTGTTGTTATGTGTTTAGTAAAGAGGACGTGGAGAAGTGCAAACAGAAGGACCTGCTGGAGCAGACCATGTCAGAGATGATCGGAGAGTTTCCTGCTCTCCACCAGACCATCGTGGCCGAGCGAGACATCTACCTCACACACACACTCCGCCAGGCTACACGCTGTGTGGAGACCCCCAGTAATGCCCAGAGTGCGTATCATTTCACCTTTCAAAAACATAATTATTTATTTTTCTTTCAAGTTTTTAGCTCCCTAATCCTGTTCTTTATGTTTTCACCTTGTGTACATTATGGTTTTATTCACATCATAAAATACTGCTATTCATTTTGGTTGTTTTACATATACATTGCTCATTAGTCTTGAAAAACAAATGTAATTTTATTGTAATTCTTAAATAGTGCGTCAGAATTGCGTAACTGTGCTTGATATAGATTTTCCGTAACAAGACGTGTCAACCTACTGTGTAGTGTATCTTGTGAAATGTGTGTTTCTAAATAGTTGCGTAAACAGCCGACCGAATGCTACAGACGCTGTTGACCAACATGCTGAGTCATATTGTCTATAAAGAGGGTGGAACTGTTAACTTTACTTAGCTTAAAAATACCACAGGAATTGATACTTTGTGAATAATCTTAGCAATGTTCCTCATTAATTAATGCATTGTCAAAAAAGGGCAGTATCCAGACATTCAGGGCATTTATACTGAAATGTATCCCTGGTGGATTTGATGAAACATTTCTCAGTTGTCAAATAACCTTTGGTTTTGTAGAAGTTTAAAGAAGTGTTGATTTTCTATGTAACAAAATATTTTATACTTCTTTTTCTTTTTTTCACAGAAGTGCCTGCAGTGGTGGTGGGAGTCGTAGGGATGGGTCACGTCCCTGGCATCGAACGAAACTGGGAGAAGCAGCTCAACATAACTGAAATCATGAGGTGAGTGTGTTACATATCAGATGTAGACTGTAATAAAAACACTCACAGTTGCTGAATGTGTCCGTATGTCTCCTCCTCAGTGTGGCGCCGCCCTCACGTTTCGGCTGGGTGCTGCGTACGGTCATAAAGGGCGTGGTGATGGGGATGCTGGGATATGCCTGCTACCGTGCTGGAGGGAGTCTGGGCCGAACCGTGCTGTCTTTACCTGCAGTCGAATCTTTACTGGAGACTATACGGCCACCCCCTCTTAGCCCACATGACCTTTGACCTATTAACAGTATGCATTTTTCACCAATGGCCTTAAAAACAGGAGTTTGGGCTGGGGGAAAGGTTTCATCAGCCCACGATATGAACTAACAAGGACCTCAGGGGGTTAACACCCCCCACCTCGTATTGATGTCCCTGTACACGCAGCAGGGCCGTACTGCCAAAGAAACCATGACGGTACTCTGTTTTCTTTCATATTTTGTGCAAACCCCGCATTTTGTAAGGTTTACAAAGGCCAATAATTCCCTCTGAATATATTTACTTTACATACATAGAGTTTTTATTTGAAAAATATCAACAGATTTATCATCAGTCAGGTGCCCGGATTAGACATTTTCTCACAGACACACTTTTTATTTGTCTTATTCCTTCCTCTTTTATGGTGCCAGCCAGCATATTTGTTAGTAGTCCAATTTCAAGGCCAGCACTTTATACGAGATTGTTATGGTACATGAAGCATATGGAGAGGAAAAGAGTGTCAAATATCAAGTCAGTCAAAACGTTCCTTTTACTCAATATAATCTAAGACTGGAGCAGCAAGTGACCCTCATGGTGTGAGGTAAATGAAGAAAATCTCTAAATTGCATGGCTGACCATCATTTTCTTAAATATTTTAAAGTCCACCATTCTTTAAACACACATAACACACACTTGTTTCCCATGTGCACAGATAAGTGCCTCATGGTTCAGCACTAAGGGCTAAGGGTGTACTGAATGGACTGGCAAAAATGTGTTAAATGCATCTTATACAGACAACAACCACAGGTCAATGCAATTTTTCTAATATTCTGTCTTTATATAATTCTATATAAGGCCTATTTTATAAATACCGTTGCCCCAAATCGACTTGTGTTGTCTTGGCTTCAGATATGACACGCATGACTTTTACATGCATTAGGACCTGACGCAGGACAGGCATAAATGTGCCTCAGGATGAGCAACGCACTTGATAACATTTATATAATTGATTGTACCTCCAATATGAGGTATCCTCATGTGTTGGTTCTAACTGGCTCCACCTGTGAGTAAGGGTTCATACTTGACACAAAAATATGCTTTTACAGAAAGACCTTTCTCAAAAACTCCACGAGAACGTCATTCAGCACACCAGCTGTTTGTACTTTTTATGGTATAATTATGCATTATGACTTGCCTGTGTGATTGTAAATTAGCAATGGGTATTGAGATGATAGAAGAAACACAAGTATTTTGTTTTCGCTCAAGGTGAGGACTGACTGTGATGATTTGTTATGGACATGTTTTGACTACTATGAAGGAAACGGACCGTTCAGATTGGTCAGAGTTGGGAGGTAAAGCCTTACACTGCTATCACTGCTGCCTTTGACCCTCAGATGGCCTCATCTGCTGAGGCTTTACAGTATATTTCCAACATTGACCTGCTTATTGCATGTGTACAAATGAACTAAATTACATGCCGGGAGCTTTGTTATGTAAGAAATGTCCCAATAAATCCAAGACGATATACTGTACATGGTTGCAGTGCAATAAACCAACATAGATTTTTAAGGTATTTCCAATCTTAATGTTAAGTGATTTTATGTACAGTACTGGAATTGTTTAGATGTATTTATAAGAGACATGAAAGGAATGTATTGGCTGTCTTTAATGTGTGAAAGGGTCCAGTGGACTAATATTGGACTTAAATTAAGTAGTGCCACAAACATTATTGGGACCTCCTCAAATTAAACTAACTCATATAAAACCTATCTTCCAATATATAAATCAAGTACTTTGCTCAAGTTAGAGAGGAGGATATAGGGAACAGATGATGTCATGCCTCTCGGTCCCTTAGCAGCATAAAACAGTCAAACTTAAACATGTCTCATCATTTCCAAAGGTTTAATGTTTCAGAATTGTCAAGGGAAAACTATGAGTGCCAGGCTTTTCCGTAAAACGTACTTCCCCAAGTCCTAATGTGGTGTTGTCATTGTTAAACCAAACATTACAACATAACTTCTGCAATTAATTATTAAAGAATTTAAGTAAATATTCATTTTTTTTTTAAAACCCTGTTTCATTATGTTAGCCCCAAAAATTGTAATGAACTCAGTAATGATTACGTTTCCTATGGACCAGTCATTTTGATTTATTAAAATAACATATCTAGCTGTACAGCTTTGTGGTGAAAATACATTTAAAAATGAGTTACTATACACAGACAAAGAAATGTCGCAAAGGTGAAACGTAGGTAGAGGTTTCTGTTTTTTAATATAATAATCCATATACAATTATGATAGTAATCAGTTCAACAGCGCCATCATCTGGGTTATAATAGTAATTTGGTTTTCATTTCGGCAAACATATTTCCTTCTTTCCTGTTTCCGGACAACTATTGATGTAACACAGTCCGATTAGCAAACATCCGCTGTAGTTTATTGCAGCTATTATGAAAGCCGGACAGGTGACCACCACTTCGTAACACTGCCAGTGAACAACATACCCAGACAGATGGCCTTGTTTGGATGGCTTATTTAGCTCCTCGGCTTGGACACTTTCGCATCTTTAACCACAGTGTGTCCGCGTGCAAGCTGCTCGGCACGGCCGGGATGGCCGACATGGGTCTGGCGCTGAGTCGGTCCCCGCTGGAGAAGCTCGACTTCGACAACGTCGCGCTCAAGAAACTTCCCCTGGACTCGTCCGAGGAGCCGGGGGTGCGGCAGGTGAATGGCGCGTGTTTCTCCCGGGTGAAGCCGCAACCGGTGACCAAGCCTCGCTTCGTGGCGGTGTCTCACGAAGCTCTCGCACTGCTGGGGCTGAACGGAGAGGAGGTCATGACCGACCCGCTCGGGCCGGAGTACCTCAGCGGGTCCAGTGTCATGCCGGGCTCCGAGACCGCCGCTCACTGCTACTGCGGACACCAGTTCGGCCAGTTCGCCGGGCAGCTGGGCGACGGGGCGGCCATCTACCTGGGCGAGGTGAAGGTCCCTCCCGGCCAAGACTCCGACCTGCTCCGGGAAAACCCGAGCGGCCGGTGGGAGATTCAGGTGAAAGGAGCTGGAAAGACTCCTTTTTCCAGGTACACCGGGAAGTGTTACTGTGTCAGTTTGTTTTGTGTTGGCAGAATTATTTTTTCCTTTACCATTTTAATGAAATACACCGCACAGATTACAAAAAAAAAATGCTGAGACTTTCCCTTTTTTCTATACAAATAACCTTTTTCGACAGCACCAAACAAGTTATTGGAAGCTAAGATTCTTGCTGGTCTGATACGTATCCCTAGTTAATTGCACTAAATGTGACTAATTTAAGATTAGAGTGTCAGCTAAATTAAATATAATATAATCCTAATGAGTATATTGAAAATGGTCAAACGACCTATATTACTATCTGTATAATCAGGAACATTGTTTTTTTCTATGTCTTTTCTGTGCTCCATAGACAAGCTGACGGACGTAAGGTCCTGCGCTCCAGTATAAGAGAGTTCCTGTGCAGCGAGGTGATGTTCTTCCTGGGTGTCCCCACCACCAGAGCAGGCTCCGTAGTCACCTCTGACAGCAGGGTTGTACGAGATGTGTACTACAGCGGGAACCCTCGTAACGAGAGATGCTCTGTGGTCCTCCGCATTGCCCCCACCTTCCTCAGGTGAGGCCATGTTGTCCCCCTTTCATCTATCATAGTTTCTTTAGATGCACACACACTAGTTGTTTATTTAAAATGTGCGTTCTCTGAGCAGGTTTGGATCCTTTGAGATCTTCAAGCAGGCCGATGAATCTACGGGTCGTCAGGGCCCCAGCTATGGACGTCATGAGATCCGAAGTCAGATGATGGATTATGTCATTGAGATGTTTTACCCTGAGATCCAGCGGAATCACCCAGATAGGGTGGAGAGGAACGTGGCTTTCTTCAGAGAGGTCAGGGCACACACTCTCAACTGACAGCATACACATTCCAGCCAGGAAAATGGCACTTGAATAAAGAATGAAATGTTTCCAAAGGTTTAATCAAATCAGCAGGTTGCCAGCTTCACGTTACAGTTTGGAGCCAAGAAAGCTTGGATCCTCTTATCCTGTTAAGCTGCTGTGGGTGGTTCAATAACAGAATCTGCTGAGTCACTGTGACCTATGCTCAATATGAGATTAGGACAATAACAAGGCATTAAACTCTGGATGACATTTTCCTTATTTAATTAGTAATGAATCACATCATGCATACTTCCCAGGGGTTGTATTCAGATGGTTCTGGATATTCTGTTCACCCCTCTTATGTTAGATTACTCTTCCCTCCCTGTTTGCAGGTGATGCTGCGCACGGCTCGACTCGTGGCTCAGTGGCAGTGTGTGGGTTTCTGCCATGGAGTCCTGAACACGGACAACATGAGCATCCTGGGACTCACACTGGACTACGGTCCATATGGATTCATGGACAGGTTAGCGAGTTGCTTTGTCCAATTAGTCAAATTCTGTTGGTCCTGTATGGTTATTTCATATTTGAGTCAAAGGACCTGTTTATCTTTTCTGCGACAACCTATTTTAGCATATACAGTCCCCTCCAAAACTATTGGAACCGTTTTGGACATAAAGGAGTTGGCCTCGCTGTTCCAATATTTTTTGAGGGGACTGTAGAAGTAGTTCGGAATCAGGACATCATAATACACATATTTTTGGATGTTTACAGTCTCCATGACTAATTATAAAACTCTACTTTCCTTTTCTTCTCAGGTTTGATCCAAATTTCATTTGCAACGCTTCTGACAACTCCGGCCGATACTCCTACCAGGCGCAGCCAGCTATCTGCAGGTGGAACCTGGTGAAGCTGGCGGAGGCTCTCGCTCCAGAGCTGCCACCGGACCGGGCTGAGGAAGTTGTGGATGAGTACCTCGATCTGTACAACGGCTTCTACCTGGAGACCATGAGGAAGAAGCTGGGCTTATTGAAGAAGGACGAGCCGGAGGATGAGATCCTGATCACAGAGCTGCTGCAGACCATGCACAACACAGGTGGGATATTGGTGGATAATCACTATATATCTGCTAGTAGGGCTGCCACAATATCACATTTTCACTGCACATTTACTGTGACCAAAAGAATGAAGAATAACCATATATCTAAAGAAAGAAACCCTCAAAATACTAGTGTAGACGGGGGAGGAAACAGTCTGGAGCAAAAGCAAAAAGTAATTTGATTGTGGATTTAAGAGGCACTAGATTAGTTTCATTATATAATATATGTTTTATTGATATTACATTACATTTCATTTAGCTGACGCTTTTATCCAAAGCGACTTACAATAAGTGCATTCGACCAAGAAGATACAAACTTGAAGAAAACAGAATCATATAAGTACATCAGGTTTCATAGAGCCAAACCATTTTAAGTGCTACTCAACTGGCTTTAGATAAGCCAGTCCTTTGTTAGTATGTAAGTGCTTTGTTAGTATATAAGTGCTTTGTTAGTATCCAAGTGCTTTTTTTTGGTGCTTTTTTTTCATTTTATTGCTCAAAGTGGAGTCGAAAGAGATGAGTTTTCAGTGATATGATACAAATATTTAATTTCCAAATATAACTGTTATCTTAACAACCGCTTTATTTCTACAAGCTAATTACACAGTAATAGAGTCAGATGAGAGAGCTTTCTTTATTTTAGAGGCAAAAGGTTTGAGGATGTAATGTATACACATATTGCTGCAATGAAACATATTCCATCAATCACTTTATCAACATGATATATTGAATCATTGTTTTAAGCTTTTCTGTCCCCGTGCTGCAGGAGCTGACTTCACCAACACCTTCCGTAGCTTGAGTCAGATTTCCTGTCCCACTGAGGGTGAAGAGGAAGAGGAGCTGGTGAGGATGGCCACAGAGCTCCTGCTGCAGCAGTGCGCCTCCTTAGAGGAGCTCAAGGCTGCCAACAAACCCACTATGGATACACGGTGAGCAAGACATATTTTACAACCACACTCTGTGTTGTCTATATCGTTACATCACAGAATGGAAATAAAACGCAGCTGAGATTTTAAGGGTGATAAGTAATAGAATGTAATATTTATTTATCTTTAATCACCTTCATGTTACAGTATAAGAATACAAAAAGATTAGTAATATCTTCAGACTATCCAAAACTTTTGTTCTGCACATTGCAACCTATGAGTGCCACTAATAGGGCTTTAGACTATTGGTCTTGTGTACAGGTATGAGCTAAATGTATGCATCACAGTGCATCAGTTTGGGTTGATTGATTTAGTTGGTCAGTTCAGGACAGCTTAAATCAAAACATTGCCAACACTAACATTTCACAGCTTTAAGATTCATTTTCCATAAAGCATTTAGCATTAATATGAAGTTTTGTCCCTGGTCAATGTTCATTCTTCTTTAAATATTACCTTCTAGATCGGTTTCTTTTGTTAGATAAATACAAACATGTCATTAGCTGTTGTGTACAGCAGAGGTTCACAACCTACCAAATAAAGGAGAAAAAAAATGAACTGGGCTGTAAAAATGTGACCCGCTCTATCGAAATCAGTCGGAAGTCCCAACGGCTCATTTAAAAATAAACGTGGATTTGCGTAAAGAAATAGTTTTTCGGGGTTCGGGTGTTTTGTTTGATTTTAAATAAACAAAGTCTTGGCTTTCAGAATATGAAACTTTTATTTCCAAAATCACACGATAAATACATTTTTGAAGCTTGTAAAGGGAAGATGACAGGCACCTCTCACTCGCACCCTGCTCTTCCGCAGCGCCGCTCCCCCTCCCTCCGGCTGAAATTATGAATGTAAGGCGTATAGTAATCATAGATAACACGGCAGGGTCCGTTACAGTTTGTTTATCTGCCTTCAATTAAACAAAGTCTTGGCTTTCAGAATATTAAACTTGTTTCGGTAAATTCAGAAGATAAATACAACTATGAAGCTTGTAACGGCATAATTACAAGCGGAGAACGGAGTAACTTGACGTCACAGCAGGCATAACAACAGTCGGTGTTTCTCGGGAGTGTTTGTGTAATTTTGCGTTATTGTGCACACAAACGCAAAATTACACAAACACACACACACGTATACA